TATGGAAACAAGCCCTGAGAGAGAGAAAGAGAGAGAGAGTTTGTGTGTGATGTATTGTTGATAATATCTGCTAGTTTTCCCATTGCACCAAGAGTTTAATGATATTAAGTGGACTGTAGCTTGGAAAATTTGCCAACCCAAAGACAGTCAGAGATCTACAGTTGGGGAGAGATCCTGACTTCCATTCTAAGAATATCAGTTTCGACTTCAATTGGTAAGTGCATGGGATTTCCAGTCTGAGAAATGAATTATATTTGTTGGAGATCAGTAAGCTAATGTCAGAAATTCTAGAAATGAAAGGCCAGTTTTCATAAGACTCCCCTGGGCCAAAACATCCAAAAGAAATGTTTGTTAGCATTCTGCAACAATCTCAGAGAAATTTCCTCTTCAAAACAAGACTTTGCTGAAAAAACTTGGTCAAAAAAAGGGCGAGAGGAGGAGACTTGGAGGAATCCCCAATTGCCACTATTCTAATTTCCTTAAGGGCAGGAACTTGGCCTTGTAGTTTATCATTGTACAGCTGAACTACGAATAATAAAAACTGCTGTGAAGAATAGGAAATACAGCATAACTAGGAAAATTATTGGCAACATGACAGACATGAACACAGCTCCGTGTCTAAACACAATGAGAAACATCAACACCCTTGAAAAGTAACAAACGTCTATATATTATGGGTAACTATGACATATGAACCATTATGATCCCTTTTTACAGCTGAGGAGAGATTTAGAAGCTTGGTGAGTGTAACAAAACCAGCATGTGCCATTACCAAGTTGTCTGGACTTAGTGTTTGGTCACCAAACCCTGTGCCACTGCCTACATAGGACATTCATTTCCGATGAGAATACATTCTACTTTCCATGGAGTATTAATTTGTAGAAAATTAAGACGCTTATACATCTTCAAAACATTATTCTGTCCTTCCTGAGCCCCCAGCCCTGGCTCACTCTGGCCTCCTACAGCCCCAATCCTTTCTTCCTAAGGCCAGTAGCTCTTCCACATGCTCCAGCCCAGGACTGAACAACGCCAGGAAATGAAAATTTGATCAGGTTACTGCTCAATAGAAGAGCTTCCTGAATGCTTTAAGAATAAAGTCCTAACAAGGATCTTTACAGCTCAGTCCCCACCTTTTACCTCTCTCCTCATTTCTTGCCACTTCTCCCTTTGCGTTTCACACTCTAGCAATGCCAACCGACCCAGAGTTCTCTGTGTCTATCAGGCTGTTTCTTTGCTGCGTCGCTGTGCATACTGTTACTTTGACCACTCTTCCAAACCTTGCTCAGGTTCTGGCTTCTAAGAAGCCTTTCCCAGAACTCATCTCCCACCCCTTCCAGGCACACCTGTACCTCTCGACTCTCAGCTGTCTCCAGGTCTGGTGTGCATTTCTATTGCTGCCTATAAATACACTCCTTTTGTGCTTGTCTCCTGCTAGAATACGCTAAACTCCTAAGGGCAGGAAGATTAGTATACCCAGCACTGGCACAAGCCCGACACTATGACTGACATGGCAGTCAATATCATTGATTGTTTTTAAATGATGCTTTTACAGCTTCACATTCTGTGCAATTTCCAAAAAACCAACACAAAACAAAACAAACATTTCATATAATCCTATAGAACTCAAGTCTAAAATCACACTCAATCTTTTCCAACTAATGGAAGTCACAGTTCAAGACATACTCAGCTGGCTTCAGGTTATAATTTCTCTGACATTGTATCACTCCTGGGCTCAAGCGATCCTCTTGCTTCAGCCTCCGGAGTAGCTGGGACTACAGGTGCCTGCCACCACACTCAGTTAATTTTTTATATTTTTTGTATATTTTTTAAATTTTTTTAGTAAAGATGGGGTCTCGCTCCTGCTCAGGCTGGTCTTGAACTCCTGAGCTCAAGCAATCCTCCAGCCTTGGCCTCCCAGAGAGCTAGGATTACAGGCGGGCCGTGCCAGCCTACTGTCTGTGCTTTATTAAAGAAGAGTTCTAGGCTTCTCAATTCTCTAAAACTTTCCTGGTGTGGAAAAATGCACATACCTTTAAGCCAAACATTTCCTCACTTTTCAGTAGAATATAGTAATTTCCTAGTAGTGTTACTTTGTTTCTGGTTTACAATTTATATACTTAAAAATGCCATCAATTGTTTTAAAGCCATGAAATTCAAACCTTCACTAATATTGGTACCAAAAGCAGTGATATGATTATATATGTATGTGTGTATTTGTGTGTATGTATGTAATATATTCATATACAACATATACATATTTAATGCATTTTTAATAATTTGAAGATATGACTATTATATAATTATTTTCTACTTCTGGGTACATCTGGAGGTAAGTATGAGATCACAACACAGAACCTGTTTAATGTGTAAGTCACTACTATAATACTTAATCAGGTACGTAGAGATTCATGTTAATTCTTTTTTCATCATGAGAATATGAGTGGGAATGTAGTATACTAACTGGCAGGTGCTGAAGAAGTTAACATGGTGCTCCTACTTTTGGAATTTAAAAATGTAATAAAGACAATGTTATAATATTTTAAAGAAAAAAATCATTCTTGTTCATTGGCTATTTCCTTTTTTTCCTTGTTCCTTATAATCCTGGTAAACATAAAAGTGTGCATATATTTTTATATAGTGTGTATTAAATTTTATTATTTGCTTTTTTATTGTTATACCATTTATTTAACCAGTATCCTATTAAGGGACATGTGTTAACTTCCCAGGTTTTCATATTAATAATTAATGGTGCATAAATAAATGTAGGTATGTAGCTCATTTTTAGAAAAAAATCTCTTTCTTTAGGATAAAAGCCCAGACAAGATTTTAATGCTATGTATTGAATATATATGAAATGGCAGAATTGGTTTTCAAAACATTGTACTAATTTATGTAACCTCCTAAACTGTACCAGATTCACTCAAATCTTGGCAGTCCAGAGTCTTATAATTCAATCTCCACTTATCCCCAATTTAATAAATATAAAATACTATCTCATTGTTTTAATGAGATTTGATATTTTTCCATGTGCTTATTTACTATTCTAAGTATATCTTAAGGAAGAAGCTACTAACTAATGTAATGAATGAATTCCATAGGTGAAGTTGTTTTGTTAACATTTTTATTATATTATAATAATTATATGAATTATAGCACTAGTAATCTTTCTATCTCATATATGCCTTCTTTTAGGAAAAGTATACTCAAACAAGAGAAAATAAAACATTACTACATAAAGTTTCTCATCTGTCTCTTGCAATAAAGAATAACTATATGTTTATATATTAAAATATCAGCACCTTTTATTACCCCTAGAGTAAACATAAAGTATAAAACAAAATTAACTCCTCATAAATAAGAAATTAATTTAAATTAAATTATTATAGTAACATATTAAAAAAACCTAATATATATATATATCATTCACTTTCTCTAGGGTATTAATGTGGTTATCTGTTAGGAGTACTTACAAAATTAAGAGGAATTAGGTTGAAAAGTGAAGCCTAGGGTTTTGTAGAGGTTTGAAGATTAGAGTTCAGGAGGTGTTTGTGGGTAGGATGAGCTACTTTAGTTGTGGTGGTCGGATAGGCTTTCTTAAAATACAGTCTTGTCAATACTTTGGAAGTCAGCAGTCTTAGAATCTGCCTTTTCTACTGACACCAAAATGGTACATTTTTAGAGCAGATAATTTCTGTCTTTGTCCTCAAATACACACATTATTTATTTCTTTGTTTTCAACAAAACCTTGTCTCAGCACTAAAAAGAATTCAAAATTTAAGATTAGGTTCTGTTTCAAAAATGGAAAACTATTTGTCTAAACTCAAAGTATCTTTTTAATATAAAAGTATTTTATCTGAAAGTTAGGTTCATATGTGGGTCCACAGGAGCTTGTTTAATTGATAATATATCTGACTACAGTACTTTTCCAATTGCATAAAATTATTGTTTTCAACATCCTTTTCCAGAGGGAAACTGCATTTACTGTCCTAGTTCTAAATGCTGATAATCTATGGGCATTCCCACCACATGGGGGCTCTCTCAGAAAATTTCCCAGAGGGTATTTTATAGGCAGAGATGGACATCTACTTGTAGACTTAGTTGCTGGAGAGAATCTAATAATATGTTTGGCGGGGAAAATGTATCAGGTTAATAAGCAGAAATATAATGTTAAATCAGAGAATTTGGAGGAATATATATATATATATATATATATGTCAGTATGGTGTGGTTACAAAAGCAAACAAATCTACTTAATATTTATACTCTCATGAACACAAGAATTTGACCCCGGAATGCTGCTGGAGTTAGACTAAATGTAGCAGAAGTAACAAGCACCAGTCTCAGTTGCCTTGGGAACAGGGCTCCTTCCTCATGTTAATGATTCTATAATATGAAAAGGGACATTTAAATGAAGTGCATAGTTACCACAGGTAGAGCAACAGGTGTCTAGAGAGATACATGTATGAGTATTTAGCAGTGTCTAAAGGGATTGTGGGGTTGGTGCATTAGTGCAGTGCACAATGAAGGAGCTCATGAAGTGGAGGTGTGGATTAGCAGATAAGGAATCAACATGAGTGTTTGAGAACCTCCCTGCTACTGCAGAACCTGTAGACTCTCCCAATGGCTTGCTCATAGTAACACAGATAAACTACCAGTTCCTTCCTACACTTTCCGACAGTGTTGTATAGAATGAGCAGCACTCCTAATAGGAGTAGGAGCAAGTAGATAAGACAATATACTGGGAAGCAGAAGACCTCTGTAAAGTCAGCATAAGAGAAACACAGTAGGATGCACAGGTACATAACAGAAATAACTTTTAAAATAAAAATTATTCCTTCAACAGTTCCAAATTAAAAAGAAACAAAAGCAGCTGTCCTGTAGTGGGCAGAGGGTATGGGTAATTTTTCATTTTATTATGTGGATAACAGTTAATGCATCTGTTTTAAACAATATAGTATAGTATTAGAAGTTGTGCTTAGTTCCAACATTTCAAAACTTACCTCTAAAAGCACTAATATCCCCATAGTGTACCTGTAGTACAAAGTATTTACTTCCAGTCTCTCCTCCAACTCTGAATCCAACACCTAAAGATTTAAGAAAAAAAATTAATGTTTTAGAAAATGAAGTCTAAAATGGAGCTAATCTAAGGTTGCTAATCTAAGAAATCCAAAGGGAAATAAAATAGCATATAACATATGAAGTTATGGTGAATATTATATGAAAACCAAAATAAACTAGACATTGACCGAAACTTTCTAATATATTCTGTCATTACCTCTCAAAGCTCTGATGGAATTCTATTCATAGTCTCCACTTCAGAACCAGAGTAATCACCTATACTTTAAGAGGACAATTTACTCATTTTGAAAGAAACAGAACAAACAAAACAAAATTCTGTCCCTGTTGATTATTTAACAGATATATATAAACCCATTATATTGTTTTGTTTTTTATATATCCACATTTATTTTATTTTCTGACTGAATATGGGAAAGAGACTTAGGAACATCTCAGGTATATTACTTTTCTCCCCTTGTGAAAACAGCTATCTACAAAAATGTCATTGAGGAAATCGGTTACAAAGTCTATTATGTCAGTGAATTTTTGGAATCTGAATGCTCTTAATAGTTTCACTTTTAATGAAGTTTGCTAGTGAGCTAAGAAATAATCTACAAGAAAATATTTATAAGCAGAGGAAATATTTTTTTTTCTCTGCTCTACTAATGGCCCTTAAAATGTCAATAAATCTACGATGGACATCCCTGTTAGTTTCCAAACTTGTTTGGTAGGGGCTGCCTGGTGAACTATACAGAGAATTCTGAGGCTCATCTGAAGCAAGGCAAAACAGACATCAACTAATGATGCTGGCATGAGTTGGGGAGGCAAAGGAGAGGCGTGTGCATCACAAGACCATTCCTGAACCACGGCAAACTTAATTTGTTACAGAACCACACACTCCCTTTAATATTAAGAAACATTCAGGTAATAAAAGAGTCTGGTAATTCACTCACGCACTGGAAACTATGAACAGTTTGGAGGTGAAGTCGGAAAAGCAGCTGAGGTCTGGCATCACATTAAATACCCGGGGTTCCAGGACTATAAAAAAAAATCTCTGCTAAAACAGCAATTTATTTAATTCCTAGCTCTCTTGGCTCATGAAATGCTCCTGCTGTCAAGAACCAATGTGCCTGAGGCCAAAGGTGGCTTGAGGTATACTTGGTTATTTTCTTATTCTGTCTAAACTGTTGTGTGAGCAAACTACTTCCCAAAGAAAGGCAGAAAAGAGTAACTACCTAAATGAAACCTTTTCAATACAAAGCAGGTTAATGCAGGCATTTTTCCTCTGAAGCAGCAATATGAAACACTGTCAACAAATGTTATCAGGGACTATAAAAAGGCCTTGGACGTACCTTTGGGGAGTCTGGTAGGGGGAGCATTTCTGGCCCAGGCATACAGAATATTGGCTTTATCTGTACAGGTTCCTTCGTCACAAAACCTGAAGAAAAAAAAAAAGTATTTATAAATGAAGATTCAAATACTAAAATGCATACATTTCTACCCATGGAAGGAGATATTTGAAAGCAAAATATTAATATAGCATATATCATTATTGTATCATATCAGCTTTAAGATCCTAATGAAGGCTAGTGCAAAGAATAATTTCTAGGCAAAATAAACACATAAGGGAGAGTTTTTGGTTTGACTGTTGCCTGATATGAAGCAATCTTGTGATATATAGATATGCAGATCAATTTTTACTTTGATATATTCATATGTGGAATGTAATCTGTGTAATCAAGCAGAAAACCAAATGTTACACAAAAACCAAATGTTAGCTATATAAACCAAAGCTAACCTGGTAGAAATCTGGAGGTGTACTAAAAAAAATGTCATACACAATTCTCCTTTGGTTATCATTGTTCAAATAGCGCCTACCCTCAGCAGAGTGAGGAATACAAGTGTATCCTATTTAAGGGGTTCTTGGCCATATATATATATTTTATATGTATAATATATATGCATTTTTTGAGTTTATGAATACTAGCTGTGCCATTTATAATTTGTTTCATATTGTGCAAGTCATTTAATCTTACTGAGCCTTAGTTTTCTCTCTTGTAAAACAGGGATAATTATACTTACCTTGCAGAGTTACATCTCATTTGATTCCGTAAATCAAATGAGATGTAAGTGGAAAGCACTTTATAAAACTCAAAGCACTATACCAGGGTAATGCATTATTTAACAAAACATTCACTTTATCTAAAGATTCACTGTTGAGAGACTTGTGTGGTGAAAAGAGCACCCAGGCAGAAAGACACATCTGGAGTTCAATTCCAGAGCCAGCCCTTAATAGCTGTGTATCTTGGGTGTGTTCATCAGCCCTCTTAGGCCCAGTTCCTGTATGGAAACTCATGATAAGGCTGTTGTGGTGATGTGTGTAAGGCACCCAATATGGTAACTAGGATATCTGGTAGATCCAATTTAATACATGGTAAGCTGTCTGTCTCCAAACCACACGTTTTCTCATTACACTGGATCTCTTAGCTTCTTCTGTTATCAAATTGAATTTGTTCAAAACATTGTTAGGCTACATTTTTATGTTGCTTTTATATATTTGTGTTTTTGGAAAACTAGGACCAAAAAGGTCAGGAACAGGAGGGTAGCAGATGTGAAAGGCTTGAAGACTATCAAGGACAAAGACAAATACAGCTTCTTAGGCAAGCACTTGGCTTATACAGGAAAAAATGTACACTGCCCATGGCCTGGAAGGGCAGCAAAGGCTTACTGAACAGGTTGAAACTGAAGCTAGAAACCCAGAAACCACCCAGGTTGCAGATATGAAAACCAGTGGTAAGAAGTTCCTTCACACTTAGAGGCAGGGACTCTTACCACGTTTCCTGCTTATAGACAGTACGTGCAGAAAACAGTGGTATGTGTCTGAATTAAGGGATCAGGGACCAGAACCAGGAAACCCTGATAAGGTTAGGCTTAGCAAATGCTCTTGCTTCTATAAATCAGGCTGCAGAAAGAGACTGTGTAATGTGTAATGTAAAACACATCAACCAGTGGTTTCTTACTGTTCACTGTCAAGTACAATATACTTATGATGAAGGATCATTACCATGTGAGAACTGTGCGCTGGAACAAATGTCTGTGACATCCTTGTGCCAAGTGTGCTAAAAGTCTTAGGATGTTGGACAGTGCCCAAAAGCAAAATTTTCCTTCTTGGCCTCATGCTATAATAGCTAAAGAAATGAGATTGTCAGATGTGATGAACTTTGTATCTTACTGCTGTGAGCAACTAAAGTTTAAAGATCTGGGTGGCAATTTTCATAGCTTTCAACAAAGATCATAAATATACAAGTACCTAATGCCAATGTGATGACAGTCTGAGGTTAAACAAGATAATTGTTTCCCCTGATATGGAAGTCGATTTTCAAAGTATGACTAGAAAGAACCAGATTGAAATGTAACAGCGGAAACTGGTTTAGTAAATTTTTCTAAGTTACACATTTGATTATGTCATTTGCTGGCTCAAAATCTTTCAAATGCTTCCCAAAAATAACATCAAAATAAAATCCAAATCTTGTAGCATAACACATAAGACCTTTCATGGTTTGGGACCCTGTTATATCTCCAGACAAAACCTCATTTTCAGTCATGCCAACTTGCTGCCAGTTTCTAACCTCTCTCTCTCCTCCACTGTTCCCTTTGCCTGAAATACCCATCCCAGCTCTCTGCCATGTACAGAGATTTAAAGAACTGAATTGGCTCAAATTGTATTGCACTGTCAAGTTTGTGTGATAGATTTTTTAAAATTTAGATTGAAATTTTTAACTACAATATAAATGCCCCAAAATTGAATTATTGTTTACTTAGTATTTTGAACAAATCAGCTTGTATTCACTCTCATAAGAACACTGCAAGCAGCTTGTACTTTAAAGCTGAATAAGCGCAGAGAGTTTAGGTAACTTCAAAAGGTCACACAGCCAAACCATGATTCAAAGCTCTGGTTGTCACACACCCATCTATCTCAATTCATGACACTGATTTATGGACACAGAATATTATATGAAGATAAGCTCTGATTCCTACTGTCATTTCTAAACTGAATTGCAATTTGTACATGTCGTTCTAAAAATCAAATTCTAGATGAAATAAGTTGTTCTTCTGACTTATTCTCAAGGAAACAATGATTTTATATTTTATTCTCTTAAAAGGTCTGCTAAAATAGAGTTTTAAAAGCAAACCTTGGTTTAATTTTTAAAACCCTGTTTTATAATTTTGTTTAAGGTATTCAACTCACAGGGCTGAGTAAAGAATGAGTCACTGCAGGACACTGGGACATTGAAGCGAATTCTAAAACTTAATGAGAGGACGAAGTGAAGAGGAAAAACAAAAGGCTGAGAGAAATGGGTTCCATAACCGATAACGCAATCGAGTGGCAAAGAGCATTTGGATATAACCCCTGTGCCTCTTCATTTTCACATTTCCAGTTCCAATTTTAAATGAAATGGCATCATATTAATATTTTCTCCACATAAAATGACCAAAAAGGAGAAAGACAATATTGTATATTTTGGCCTTCCAAAAAAGGCTCTACAAAAATAGAATTTTTACTATTCTTACTAGTAAAGAAAAGCCTTAAGGCTGGGAAGCAATGTAACCCTTGATCAATGGCTGTTGTAATTTCAGGCCTCATCAACCAGGTTTCTTATTCTTATCATTCTAGCAGTTTCTGCTAAAGGCTCCTCCAGATTAAGCCAATTAAATTGTGAAAAGATTCACATAGCTCCCATGTGGTTTCTTAGTATTCATAGTAAAAATGATGAGAATTAACATTTGAAAATAAAACTATTCTGGATTCTTGGACTTTTCCCATAGAACCCTTTTCACCTCTAATCCATGGGGAAACCACTTGGATGGCATGAATATTTTCTCACTGCACCAAGCACTGAAAAGTGCTAGCCTGTCATTCTGAATTATCCAAATAAAGCATGATTGACTGTTAAAGTACTCTCTGGTTGTGTCTGTTAAAGGCTATTTAAAATCCAAGGTTACTCAGGGAAGATAAGAACTGATAACTCATTTTTTCTTTTGACTAAAAAAATAAAAAAAAAATAATTGTCATGCCCTCGGGTTAAGTCTGTATGGCCTTAAATTCCAATTTAATGCATTAAGTATCTAACAGAACCACAGCCAGGAAAATTAATCTAAAGTGAGAAAGTTTCTTTGAGAAATACAATATAAAATCAATGGCATGGGTGGAAGGTTCTCACCTTTAAAAATGCACTCAGTATAAGTCAGGTATTCAAATACCATTAACTGCTCTATAAACCCACAGAATATTTTCCCCAATTCAGACAAACCTCTGTGAACTTCAATGCAATGGACAGGCACTGACATAGTATTTAGAAAGCAACCTAATACAATGAGAAAGCTAAATAAGAATGGTGATTAAGAAGTATTAGCCAGATAAATAGCACCACAATAATTTCACCCTACTCCTGCAGCCCAATGAGATCAGAAAAACAATAAAGTCCATACGATTAGAGGGTATGTCTGTTTTGTCTACACCAAATTCTCAGTGCCTAACAAAATGCTTGGCACATAGTGTATGATATAATAAATAGTAATAAATGAATAAGGACAATAGCTACCAATTCTATGTGCCAGGCCCACCACCAAACAGGTTACCTATATTACTTACTCCTTATGATGGCTTAGTCAAGCCATCAATGATGCGTAGTTCCATTTTATAGATGAAGAAACAGACTAATACAAGGTTAAATCATTTGACCAATGCTTAGTACAGCTATCAAGTAGTAGAGCTGAAATTGGAACCCAAGATGCTCTGATTTAAAAGTTCTGGCTCTATCCTAAATATAGCACTGCGCTATAATATTGCTACTCTGTTTAACATAAAATACTAGTCTTCTGAGGAAAGAATAATGTCCAAAATTATGTAGTGTTCCTTTTTGTCGAAGCAGTCAAAAGGATTACAACTATGGCTTTCTATTTTATTAAAGTTGACACTAGTCTACTAAGAATTGGGCAATTATTAAGGCACTCCTATTAACATCTCTAATCCAGGCACCTAAAAATTATTAGCCAAGGAACACAATCATTGGTAACTAGAAGTCAGAACCAGATACCAACTGTATTTTAATAAATTGATCCCTTATATTCTCTCGACATGCAATATAATACTCTCTCAACATGCAATATAATACCAATCTGTTACAATATTAAAGTGGACAAGGAAATAGATAACTAATATTTGCCTAGCAGAAAATTTATGTCTAAACTTTGCTTCTGCACTCAAAGACACATTTTACAGTGCTTAAAACAAGGGACAGGCCAGGCGTGGTGGCTCACACCTGTAATCCTAGCACTCTGGGAGGCCGAGGCGGGAGGACTGCTCGAGGTCAGGAGTTCAAAACCAGCCTGAGCAAGAGCGAGACCCTGTCTCTACCATAAATAGAAAGAAATTAA